ATTACAATATCTTGGCTATATATACGGACAGTGTTGAGCAGCGATTCTATTTCAGATGATGTTTTTCCATACAGCTTCAGATCATCCATGTAAAGGAGGTGGGATAGTCTGGCAGATGTTTTTGATGTTTGATAGCCATGTCCTGAGTTATTCAGTATTGTTGACAGAGGAAACAGTGCAATAACAAATAGTAATGGTGATAATGAATCTCCTTGAAATATTCCTCTCTTGATATTAACCTCTCCCAGCCTCTCACCATTGATCTGCAACTGTGTCTTCCATTGTGCCATCGATCTTTGCACAAATTTTCTGATGTTTCTACTGACTCCTGTTATTTCTAGGCACTTTATTATCCAATCATGTGGCAGAGAGTCAAATGCCTTTTTGTAGTCAATCCATGCCACATTCAGGTTGGTCTTCCTTCTCTTGCAGTTTTCCAAGATCATTTTGTCTATTAGGAGTTGATCTTTTGTTCCTCTGCTATTGGGGCGGTTTCCTTTCTGCTCAGGTGGAAAGAGATTGTTTTCAACTAGATGCTGTTGTACTGCATCAGCTACCACACCAGTTAGTAATTTGAAAGTTGTTGGTAAGCAGGTAATTGGCCTGTAGTTACCTGGTGTTGCCCCTTTTGCTGGATTTTTCATTATTAGGTAGGTTTTCCCAGTTGTTAGCCACTTTTCAATTTCTCCTCCTTGTAGTATATTGTTGAACTGTTTGGCAATGAGTGGGTGTATAACAGTTAGATGTTTCAACCAAAACCCATGCAGTTCATCTTCACCTGGTGCTGACCAATTTTTGATTTTCTTTGCTCTTTTTTCTACCATTTTTGTTATTATTACTAGTTCTTTCATTTCAACTTCTGTTTTATTTGCCTCCACCTCTTTTAACCATTATTATTATTATTATTATTATTATTATTATTATTATTATTATTATTATTATTATTATTATTATTATTATTATGCTTTCTAACTGGTGGTTATCATTGTCACAAATGTTACTCTAAAATTCTGGCAATAACATTTCTCCTGGTGGATTTAGTTACATCCTGTTTCCCCTTCTCAAATTCTTTTATAATATTCTTCTTCCAAAGTTATCAAAAACATTTCAGAAACTCTCATTCCCCCAGGCCCTAACTGGTATTAAGTTCTTCTGTTGGTATTTTCAGGGAATCCACGTTATATAATGTTCCAGACACAGCTGTTGGGGGACTAATAAGGTGATCCTGGCAAAAAACTCATATGATCAAGAAAAGCACCTGGCTGTAGCTGAAAACAGAGTAGTGCTGACAGACCAAATAAATCAGAAGCTTTCTGTGGCTGGGATCTTTTGATTCAGAAGAAGAATCTCCAAAGGAAGCCTACATATTTATGGTTTAAAAAGTGTTTAGGGACAGGGCTTCTTTAATGGGTCTTCAAACAACATGAAGTGAAAAGGGCCTACCCCAGAGGGACTGAACCATGCAGGGAGAAGGCAAAAGGCCACACTGTGTAACTCTCCTTCTTCCAATGCCCATCAGCTCTTCATTGGTTTATTTTTAGAGATGGGTTTAACACAATTCTGAAAGTTGCACCCCTGTTTAAAAGTAAACTGGCCAATAGATGACAGGCATGAGGTGATAGGGGATTGTACAACGCAGCAGAAGAGTTTATTTTAGCTTTACTTGCCCCATGGTGTCTTGTCTAAACTTTAGATAACTTTTGCATTCAACTATGCAAAATAGGAGCTTGGATTGTGTTTTCATAGATACATTAACTTACATCCTCCCCAGCAGCAGCCTATGTTAATGAGAATGATTGGTATATGTTCAGTCCAGCAGATTCCATTTGCATTCAGAGGCCTTTCCGGAAGGCCTCTGCAGCTGGGAACAGAACTATGGATTCGATCCATAGCTCAGTTCTAGACTGCAGAGGCCTTTCTAGAATGCCTCTGACAGCGAAATGCAGGCTGGAGCTCCATTCTCAGCTCCAAATTTAAGCTGCTTCTTCGGACGCAGAAGAAGTGGGCCAGCTAGGCGGGGCTGTTGATGATGCCTCTGCAAGGTGAGTGGAAAAGACACCCCCCCAAAAAAAATAAGACCTGGTGCCTCTTTTGGAGGCAAAATAAAAACAAAAATAAGACTGGGTCTTATTTTCGGGGAAACATAGTACTAATCTTTTTATTGAGAGCCAGTTTGGTCTGGTGGTTAAGATATCAGGCTAGAAACATGTCTTAGACATGAAAACTGGCTGGGTGACTTTGGGCCAGCTCTCAGCCCAACTCTTCTCACAGAGTTGGTGTTGTGGGGAAATAGGTGGAGGAAGGAGTATTAGGTATATACCCAGCCATGAGTTATTTATAACAAATAATGAAGATGGGATATAAACAAGCAAACATAGCCTGCACTTGCTGTCTTTTGTTGAACCAGTTATCTGTGGCAGGATAATGATTGAGCTTGAAGTGCTACTTATCATTTGTTATCAGGTATAGAAAGAACAGCAATGGCTAAGAAATGGGGGAGGAAATCACTTTATGGTACATTTCAATATAAAGTTAAAGAATGCTTCAATTATTGACCAATGGCACTTATCTCTGTTAGTAATCTAGACTTCATCAAAACATAGAATGAGAAGTGCCAGATGTTCATCCTAGCTTCTGAAGAGGCAGAGGCACTCAAGATAATATTATGAACATTTAATGGATAGTGAAAAAAAAACAAAGGTATTCCAAAATGACATCTATTTTTCCATTAGCAATTATACTAAGGCTTTTGATTGTATAGACCACAAATTGAGGAAAGCCCTTAAAAACATGTTAATTCTGGGCTCCTCATCTGCCTGCTAAAGAATTTGTATGATGTCCAGGAACCATTTTGGAATAGAGACTGGAGCAATTAAATTCAAAATTGGGAAGGTGTATGCCATGGGTCCATATGGCCACCTTGCTTATTTAATTTATATATGGTGTACATCATGTGATTTGCTTGACAAGAAGAAATGGACATTGAAATTAAAATCAATTGGAGAAACATCAATAATCATAGATATAATACTGATGACATCACTTTAATGACTAGAAGTGAAGAAGACTTAAGAAATATCTTGTTGCAGGTGAAAGAAAAAAGTCTGCTTCTCAGTATTAAAAACACCAACAATGTTAACAGGCAATGTCAATCCAATCCAATGATGCAAAGAAGTTGAACAACTTATAAGCATAAAATAATGAGATATCTGCTATTTAGAAGGGGTCACGATGGGTCGGACACGACTTCGCAATTAACAACAACAACAAATGAAAAATCTAGACAACATAGTTGTTCATAGACATCAAAGAAGAGGGAATCAACCTATTCTCCAAAGCAACTGAAGGCAGAGCAAGAAACAATGGAGGAAACTAATCAAGGAGAGAAGCAACCTAGAAATAAGGAGAAATTTCCTGACAGTTAGAACAATTAACCATGGAACGACTTTCCTCCTGAAAAAAGTTGTGGGTACTCCAACACTGAAGGTTTTTAAGAAGAGATTGGACAACCATTTGTCTGAAATTGTATAGAGTTTCCTACTTGAGCAGGGGGTTGGACTAGAAGATCTTCAAGGTCCCTTCCAGCTCTGATATTATGTGATATTATATAAATATATATATTGTCAAGGCTATGGCTTTTGCACTGGTAACAGAGAATGGTGAAAACTGGACTATTTGAAAGGCAGAAGAAAGAAAAATGGGTCCCTCGGAATTGTGATTGAGAATATCTTAGTCTACAAGAAGAACAAATCATTCAAAATGAAATGAAGTAAAACCGGACCATTCACCAGGAGTGCTAATATGAAGCCAAAGCTTAAAGGAAGCACAATATGAAGGGAAGAGTCACTGGAAAAGATACTTGGAAAAACACAATGGCAAAGAAGCCCATACAAAGCAAGGTATTGTAGGCATAAACGTGAATTCCCCAAACTCTAAGAAACAGACAGTCTTGGGGAAACAGCCATGTCCTCCCCTAGGTTACAAAAAAGTCAGATATGATCAAATAACTGAACAACAAGAAGAATTTTCTGTTGGCTCAAGGATAGTTGGGCAGCACTTTAAATGAGCTCACGGGAAATGCCCTGAGTTTCTCTTGATCTCCTTGCCAACTATCAACAAGCAAATGAAGGAGGGGGCAGGAGATGGAAAAGGACAGCAGGAAGACTGTAAATGTTTTGCAGAGGAATGCTTCCTCACTTGGCAAGCATGATCAAGATAAAATTCTAGAAGGCAAAAACTTCTGTCTGTCTCTTTCTACCAAGTCACTGCATGCATTGTTTATATAACAAGGGAACAAACTGTGCAAATGTTCTTTTGCACACATGTTCGGTGGAAAAAAACAGACCAATTAACTTTTGGGTAAAACTTAGTGTGTTATTTCTGTGCTTTGGAGGTCCTTCCAGACCTAATGTAGACTGAGTTTGTACAATGCAATAAGCCATAATGCAGTTTGATTGTACTGGACTTGTGGTAGTCAGCAAACCATGGTTAAACAAATTGTGCATCAGCACAGCATATGAATCAGGTAGTAAGGTGGCTAGATACAAAACTCTTGAAACTCTGGGGAGCACCTGGTATTGGCAACAGACATTTAAGGGAAGTTATGAGAGAATTGCTATCAGGATGACAGTATCTCCTCATTTCCCCCCTAGCCCATCACTTTGAGATAAACCAGGAAGCTGGATCTAGAAATTACTATGTAAATTCTCATAGTGCCTTTACCTAATACCACGGTGGAAGGTAGGGATGGGGGTCACAAACATAGCACTTGCAACTTTTTACTATGAATGTGTTGCTGGCTGCAAGCTGGTTGGTTTCAAAAAGGGTTTCCTGAAAGTCATAGAAATCAAATGGCTATTAGACTTGATGTCACCATGACTGAGAGACTGGGCTTCCTTGTGCAGTTAGTTGCACCACAGTGTTGGACACTGCTGATGTTCTGATGACCTAAGTATGTAATGACTTTATTCTTCCTTTGTTTTTGTTTTTCTCTCTCTCAGAATGACATGGTCCTTCACAAAGATTTTACATGATTGTATATTACAATGTATTCTACTCTTCTAGTACTGCAGGTTGATATTTGGAAACATCATCACAAGCTAGGTAAGCTACATGGCATGCTGTGGATTTTGGGTTTTTTTTTAAAGGAAAGAAACGTGTTTTACATCAGAAAGAGAATGCAGGAATGCTGCTAAGTCTAGATTGCCAGCTGTAAGACCTGTATCTCATAGAATCCAAAGCCCACTCAACTGACCCATATTTCCTATATGTGCATGTTTAAGATAAGTGATCCTGCTCACCTCTGCCTCCTCTAAAACGGCCATTGCTCAGCGTGGGGGAAACAGACAGAGAAGAAAGAGGCACCAAAGATTGGATGCAACTAATAATGGGGAGGGTGGTAGTGGTCAGAAATTCATTTTGAGAGCCCCAATGATCCCTCATTTTCCTATCAGGCCACTGATAGAATGTGAGATTAAATGAGTTCATAAGTTTGATATGCTTATTCACACAAGGAAAAACAAAAGCGAAAATACTGTACACAAAGAGGAAGAGAGGAGGAGCTTCTTCTGCGTGGATCTCCTCTAGCAACAGTTGAAGTCAATCTTTCACTGATTAGTTATAAAGCTGACTTCTTGGAGCAACAAGGAAGCAATACACCTGTTACTTGGGAAAGTGTGTTGATGTATTCTATTCCTGTTTGAACTATCTAATGAGGCCGTTTTACTTTTTCTTTCCCAGCCCCCTCCCCCCCCAAGTTATCCAAGTTGCTCTCTTGGTTGTTATTTGTATATTCTTTTTAATTATAACCAGCCAGTTTCATTTGTATATCCAGTGTAGCATCTTTTTCCATATCATTCTTGTAGCTGGTCATTTTTAAATCCATTTTCAAATCAGTCTTAATCTTGTCTGGTAAAACGTGATGCTCTTCCATAACATCTTTTAAACACAGTCTGTTTATAATGATAGACACTCTTAAAATTAACTTGTAGGTCCATTTTTCACAAATATACTTCAATATGTCCAATATTAAGTATATTGCTCCTTTCTGTATTAGTAAGTCAAATTTAAGCGCTCTTCTCTTTTAATTGTAATCTTTAGTTCCTTCTGGTTCCCTCTAGTGCCCAATCTTCAAAGTCTCATCCTATCATGTTTTTTTTTTAAATATTCAAAACAACAGCATTTCTCCCACAGGAAGGATTATTGTTAATTTAAAAATCTTATTTCAAATCCATCTGGATCCTTAGCCCATTTGTAACTTTTCAAAATCAACGTTCTGATAACCCCTTTTGCTGTTTTACCCCCCAATTTTTTTTTATGTCAAACGTATATTTAAAACGTATTTCATGCAGGGTTGAAGGGAACTCACCAGACGCTGCCAAAGTATATTGAGCCAAAGGTTCCTAATAGCTGAAAAGCAGTTAATAAGCAATTTCCAAAAGTGATTAGAAAAAGAAGTATGTGAAGCTAGTATTCTTACTGAAGGCGCCAACTGCAGTTTCAGCAAAGATGGCTTTCCCTCAACTCTAAATCCACTGGAGACTGCTGTCTTGTGGTTTCCTCATGAGGAGAAATGGTTTAGAGCAGGGGTAGGCAACCTCGGCTCTTTCATGACTCATGGACTTCAACTCCCAGAATTCCCGAGTCAGCTGTGCTGACTTGGGAATTCTGGGAGTTGAAGTCCATGAGTCATAAAAGAGCCGAGGTTGCCTACCCCTGCTCTAGAGCACTTGTGGGTGATCTCAAGCTTTTCGTTTTCTGGAAAGGAATTATGAAGAGCCAGACTACTTCATTCTGCTGTGCTCATTGGCTCCACTCAGTTTGGCATTTCATCCCCAGAAGTGCAGGTCCCTGTGTTATCTTACTTGTCTACACAGTTTGCAGTTTCAGTTCTTCTCTTTTCATTACCAGCTATGTTGATCGATTCATCATAACCATTCACTATGTTGGCTTCTGTAAACAATACCTCATATGCTGGCTTCAAAGGGAAATTAATGTGTTACTGTGCTGGATAGTTTATTTATCTAAGAAGGCAAGCGTACACCTGTACTTGTCTTTGTACATTTTGAAATCCATTTGGTTAGTCAATGTCTTGCAATGCTTCCTGAAACATATTAATAAAACAGAAGCCATCAATTCTTTGCATGCTGTCACAAGAATGGGAAGGATTTTTAAAGTTATTATTTATTGTTATCTAATGCATTGTTTTTATGGCCCTGTCATCTGAGTTCAGTACATCCATTCTTTTGACAGGGTGGAGCCATTTTAAATCATTTCAAATGTTTGCTAAAAGCTTCCACATACTGCTATAAGTTCTGCTATAGAGCAGTAAGAAGGTATTAATAGTTAAGCTTCTTCTATTAATGGATAAGCAACATAAAATACTGTATTGATATTATACAGATCTTAGGTAAAATTATTCAGACCTATCTGAATAATATCTATCATGGTGGAAAATTGGATATCTCCAGAAGATTTGGATTTCAGTTCCTATCAATTCTAGCCAGCACAGAAATTGAAGAAAACATGCCTGTAGGCCGCATGACCCATATCCTGGTACTATGGGAATTGTAGTCCAAAGCACCCAATATACTTAGCCCTAATGGGAAAGAGCCATTTTGGTCTAGTGATTAAGGCACAAAGCTAGAGACTGGGAGATTATGAGTTCTAGTCCCACCTTAGCCATGAAAGACGGCTGGATGACCTTGGGCCAATCACTCATTCTCTCAGCCCAACCCACCTCAGAGGGTTGTTGTTGTGGGGAAAATAGGAGTAGGAAGTAGTATTAGATATGTGAGTCACCTTATGTTATTTATAAAAATAATAAAAGCAGGATATAACTTATATAAATAAACTGCACTTGGTCCACACCCTCCAACAATTAGGCACCTTTGCCATTAGATCTTTTAATATGGCTTAGGGTAATATGGAAACACGAAGACCACACCTGCATTCTGGAGATTGGCTTCTTTCTTGTATACCTGCATCTATTCTCCAGCATCTGTATTCAACAAAATGTGTGAGAGAACCTGAACTGATCTTTCTCAAAGGACGCCGTCACTCATCCCTCTCTTCTGTGTACTCTATCAGTTCAGAAAGGGAGTTTCTTACAGAGTATACTGTATTTCACAGAATGGGGAACCAGAAAATAAGGGCTAGTCCACATAAACGACAACCAGCAGAGTTCTTCCACTGTTTTGTTAGATAGCCAAAGGGCCTTACATCATTTTAAGGAGCATCTATCATTTATTATCACTCCCTCTTATGTGTGCTAATGACTTTTACTTTAGTGTTTGTTAAGAGGATTAGATGGGTAAAGAAGCAGGCCACTAAGTGCATGCATCTACATGGAGGGAAGTGTGTAGTAGGGTGCCCCAGGGCTCTGTTCTGGGCCCAGTGCTCTTCAACATCTTCATCAATGATTTGGATGAGGTGATAGATGGGGAACTCATCAAATTTGCAGATGACACCAAGCTGGCAGGAATAGCTGACACTCCAGAAGATAGGCTTAAGATACATTAGGTTCTTGACAGACTTGAACATTGGGTGCTATCTAACAAAATGAAATTCAGTGGTGAAAAAAGTAAGGTTCTACATTTTGGCAAGAAAAAACAAATGCACATGTATAGTATAGGTAGTAGTCCTAATTGACAATCTCTTAAATATGAGCCAGCAGTGTGCTACACCTGCCAACAAAGCCAACACAGTGCTAGGCTGCATTAATAGAGGGACAGAATCAAGATCATGTGAAGTGTTAATACCACTTTATAATCCCTTGGTGAGGCCACACTTGGAATACTGCATCCAGTTTTGCTCACCGTGATGTAAAAAAAGATGTTGAGACTCTAGAAAGAGTACAGAAAAGCGCAACAAAGATGATTGGGGGTCTGGAGGCTAAAACATATGATAGCAGTGTTCCAATATCTCAGGGATTGCCACAAAGAACAGGAAATCAAGCTATTCTCCAAAGCACCTGAAGGTATGACAAGAAGCAATGGATGCAATCTAACCAAAGAGAGAAGCAACCTAGAACTAAGGAGAAATTTCCTGACAGTTAGAACAATTAACCAGTGAAACAACCTGCCTCCAGAAGCTGTGAATGCTTCAACACTGGACGTTTTTAAGAAGAGACTGGACAGCCATTTGTCCGAAATGGTGTACGGTTTCCTGCCTGAGCAGGGGGTTGGACTCGATGACCTCCAACTTTTTTATTATTATTATTATTATTATTATTATTATTATTATTATTATTATTATTATTATTATTACTACTACTACTATTACTACTACTACTATTATTATTAAGCTCTGAATCTCAAATAGACATCTTTCATTAGCAGAAAGAATACAGTGAAGTCAATTGTGGCTGGGAAGAGTAAGAAAGAGGAAAAAAATAATAGTCTCACATGTAAACATACCATGCTTTATCCTGGTCCCCAATTTCTTGGAGTCATAATCTACAAAATAATAGAATCCATAAAGAGATTATCTGGTTGCCACTTTTGAATTACATGAAAAATAAGTTTATGTTTATGTGGTTTTCCTCTAAGAAACTCAGAATTCCACTCTAAGCCAATCAAAATGTTAAAATAAATAAAGGAAATTAAAAGAGTTCAGCAATGGGAAAGCAGAAGGTTCACAGGGAATGAAAAACAGGCTTCATACAATATGCTATGCTGATATGAAATAAATCACTCTATTATTAGCATTTTATGAAAACTAGCCATTGAAATTTATTCAAGAAACTTTAAATGAACCATGGCTTTGTGTTAGATGTTGACCCAGGTATTAGATGACTGTTAAGGGACTAGCCTACCAAAATAGATACAATTTCATCACTGGCTGTCACAGATCAGGGTTTGACCTAACTTCTGCTGAGATCACCAAGCAGCCACTAAGTCCATCTGTACCTTCTTTCTGGTGAGAATAGCTTTCTTTCAAGCAAGCCCATTTCCTCTGAACCCGCCAAGGAAAACCAGTTTATTCTGACTTTTTTCACTCCTGTACATCTCCTTAAGCCACCTTATAATTTGGCTTTACTTCTTCATTAAACCAAGATTTAAAAACAAAAACTATGATGTCAACAAATGTATTGCAGTATTATT